GATTTTTGTGTTTAGAACATGGACATCGAAACTTTCCTTCTGATATAAAGCTGGGCAGCTGTTTCACTTGCTGAATGAAAAAGTTCACCCCATTGATGAATTCATATGTTAATGTATTCCGACCTTGAGATAATCGGTTATACATCCAACTTCTTTGATTTTTAATATCCATAACCTATATATAAGAGTAAAAAAGTAATGGATTTATATATAGACTAATGTTGATCTCCATAATCAAATTTTACCTTCATCTCCCTCTCTAGTCTTATCAACAAGAACAATATCATCAACAAAAAGCATGCACCAAGGTACATCCTCTAGCAAATGTCTAGTGATAACATCCATGACTAAAGCAAAAAGATATGGACTAATGTTGATCTCCATAATCCAAGTTTACCTTCAACTCCCTCTCTAGTCTTATCAACAAGAACAATATCATCAACAAAAAGCATGCACCAAGGTACATCCTCTAGCAAATGTCTAGTGCTAACAATCATGACTAAAGCAAAAAGATATGGACTAATGTTGATCTCCATAATCAAAGTTTACCTTCAAATCCCTCTCTAGTCTTATCAACAAGAACAATATCATCAACAAAAAGCATGCACCAAGATACATCCTCTAGCAAATGTCTAGTGATAACAACCATGACTATAGCAAAAAGATATGGACTTAAGGCTAATCCTATATGTAATCCAACCGAAATAGGAAAAAAAATGAAAACAAATACCTTCGGTCGTTCTACGACCCTCCTCGGCGGCGCGCGAATAGGAAGGAGAGAGGCGGCGCGCGACTAAGAATGGGCTCGGCGAAGTCCGGTGACCGTCGACGGCGAAGTCCGGTGACCGTCGACGACGTCTAACCACGGCGAGCGACGAACGACGACGAAGGGCGATGGGCGAAGCAGTCGAAGTGAGAGAATGGAAGGAAACGAATGACGGCCAGAGGGGTTCGGTTTCGGGAAATAGGGCTTTTACCGGCGGACGATTTCGACGCTACTGACGCCGGTATAATTTCCGACGCATCATCCGTCGATAATATTTCGTTGAGTTTAAATACGCCGGCGCAATGTACGCCGGTAACGTACGCCGAAACGGTTCCGCCGTAACGTGCGACGGAAATGGTTCAGACATTCCTTTACCGTCGGATTGGCCGGCGGAATCGGTGTCGGTAAATTTACGGCGTATTTTGCGCCGGAAATGTTGCCGCAAAATTTTCGTCGAACGATTCCGCCGTTGCCTGCGCCGTTATTACCGGCGCATAATTTTTCGCCGGAAAAATCCGACGGTAATCACGTGTTCTCCCGTAGTGATTATTCTTCCCAAAAAAGGGATTGGTATAAAAGGGGATACTAGAAAATCCTACTAAAAAAGGAAGAAATGTTTTAAACGGGCTTAGTCAACTTCACGATTCATCTCAGCATTCAAAGAGACTAAGGCAGCCGAGGAGAGAAAGAAACTCAAACACTCAAAGCACGCATAGAGAAATTATAGAAGTGGCGTCATCAATATGACGCAGATAAGTAAGATTTATAGTCCTTGAAGAGGAGGAACTTACCCACTATTTTGGTATACTACGAAACACCGAATATAGTAGCCTCGAATCCTAGATCTAAGATAGACTTTGTATTTTACCCAACACTAACACCCGTGTCTTAGCTAATACACCTGATCTTATACCCTGCATGAAAATGGATAATAGCTAACCATCTAAACGATTAAAATTCATGCTGTACAGTTTTTTATTAAAGATATGTAAGTAGTTTAGTATTTTGGAAGTAGGGCCGACGTCTAGAGAGTTTTCTAATTGCCTCTGGACTTATGTAAGGTTAATGCTCCTAAAGCTAATACAATTTAAATTTTAATTTAGTTGGTCTCTAATGTAATACATACTAGTTTAGAAGGTCTAAATGAGATTTACTTCCGATTTTAAAAATATGCTTATATAAAAATAATTTTTAGAAAAGACTGAGCCTACCTAAGTACAACACTTCGTCCTTATAGGCCAGATTATCCGGACTTTACCCGCAGGTGGGGAGGTGTCTTATTGGAAGGAGGGAGAGATGCAATAATATGCATGCGACCCCAAACAGCTCCGGCTATTCCCTAGGTTATTAGATTTCTAAATTATTTAATTCTTAAAATTTTGGCGAGTAGAAAATAATTTTTATCCTAGAGAGCCTAGTACAAATCAGACCATACACATGCAAGAAAGAAACCTAGAAAAGACAGATAATTTTTAATGCGCACACAAAATAAACATATCAATAAAAATTCACAAAACATAGTAAAGTTTACAGCAAGTACCGTATAAGTATAATTCATGGTCTATAAAAAAGTAATGGTGGCTAAGCTCCACTAACATCTTGGATTCTAATCCTAATAAATGATGCAAGTCTTAAAAGCCAAGCATTTCATCTTCAAGTCTCCTTTTTCGAGTGAATCATCCTTCTCCGGATCATCTCCCATTGGATCGTCTCCTTTGGGCTCTGTGTGGTTCATCCCCCGGAAGGGTACCCAAACGACTAAAAGATTCCCTATAAATGGCTTTTCTTATTCTCTTTGGGTATCTTATATTTGAAATGCCAGACTAGTAAAGACTTTCACAACTCAATACAAATTATAACAAATTACATTATAAAAAAAATAGATCTGAATTCTTGCATGGTTATCCCAATAAAATATTTCAAGCAATTAATATAACAACCTAAGTAGTTAATATAACAATCTAAGTAGTAAAAGGAAAAACACATGGTCACACTCTTTTAATTTTAAGGGGGCTAAGCATTCTCTGGAGCATCTGCAGAAAATAACGTTAGTCTTAAAGCTTTAAATCATTGTTGCCAATTTTATTTTAGCGTTGCATGAGCGTGGCCACCTGCATAAAATTGGATTAGTATAAAAGTGGCTCTAGCCCATGTGCAATCTAACGCACAAATCACAACATAAGCAAAGAAAAGTAAAATAATAAAACAAGACATCACAAAAATCATCAAAACACATCAGAGCAATCAACACACGTGTCACACACAATCACATAACATTACATAGAGCAGAAAAGGTAAACACCGGTCCTAATCCAAAAGCTAGAAGTGGTGCCCTTAATAGGCTTGTATGGCTTTGGATAAGTCATATGTAAGATGGTTCAAGTAGTCTAAAGTTCATATTTGTTGAAGGTCAAAAAGGAAAACTTTAATTAAAGTTTAGGGTTTTGATCCAAATTAGCTTCAAACTACTTGGAATCACCCCCAAAGGTTAGAAATGACTTAAAGAAGTGTTCTCAAGTGTTTTGGGAAAATTTGAAATTTTTAACAATTTTTAATTATTTAATAAGTGCAAAAATGTTAATTTTAGTTAAAATTAAATTATGGCTTAAATTGAAGTTCAATTAAGGGACCCTAATTATCTAAGGTTGATGATTAAATTCTGAAGAGTTTGATGTATTATGGGTAATTTTCTCAGTTGAAATGAATTTATTAGAATTTTTTGAAGTTATCGAAACCTAATTATCGGGTAAATTAAGATTTGTTAATTAAGGGGTCTAAAAGCTCCTAAAAATTTCTAAAAAATTCTGGGAGGTTTAGGATGTCACTAAGTTTAAATGTTGAAAGTTTCATATCAATTAGGGATCTATCCTAGCTCATATATATTTTTTTTAAGATAGCTAGACGGGTCCTTAATTATTTTTCTTAGGGTGTCACTACGTTAAATGGGTTTTAGATAAAATTTTGGACTAGCCCTTGGATAACATGTAAGGAAATGCATAAAAAATAGCAAACACACCCATCTTAAGATCTAAGAGGGCCTAAGCTAAGTGTTAGTGCATCCTACACATATAAAAGATGATAAAAATAAGAAATTAAGAGTGCTTATCGATGTGATTAATGAATATTTGGAGCAAAATCATCCACTAATCTCTCCCCTATGAATGATGTTCACAAGTACAATCAATGTTAAAATTTCATGTAATGAATCTACCAAAACTAGAAATTTAATATATAGGTAATTTAAAAATATTTAAAATACCCATAAATATAAATTTTTTAATAAATAATATAATTAAATGTAATTTAATTTAAAGAAATACATAAGTAAGTGGGAGATCAACTGGCCACCCAAGGAGGTTTCAAAATAATAATCAATATAATAATAAATAAAAAAGTTTTTTTTATTACGTCATCTAGTAGAAAAATTAAAAGAAACTTGATGAAAATCTTAAATGAAGGACTTCAATCCTTTCTTTATTTTTCAACTTCTTCAAAGAGTGTTGAAGTAATGTGATTATATTAACATTATCTCCTTCTATGATTACTCCCTGTGCTTCCAACATCCATTCTTGAATAACATTTTTCAAAGCAAAAACCGCCAAAAGTTTTAACTATGCTATATCCCAATGCAAATATTTAACACCAAAAGCAAGCATAAATCTTCCTTTATGATCTCTGAAAACTCCGCCAATCCCTGTCTTGTTATTACTTAATAAAGAAGCATCAATGTTAACCTTTATCCATCCAGGAGGAGGGGGATGCCAAGAAGAAGACAACTTACACTGGTTATCCGAACAAGTATTAATAAAAGGTGATATCGGAGACATGGACACCATGTTAGCAGCAATTAACAAATTTGTATCTTTTTTATCACCATGAACCAATTTGCATCTACTTTTCCAAACAAGAAAAATAGCAGTACAGTATATGTTTACAATAAATGAGTTGATATCTTCTAATCTCTTTAATTCCTTTATACAATTTAGAAAGTTCGAGAAAACCATATTAGCATCCATGCCTTTAGAAACAACAAAGGTATTCCCAGGTAGACTCTTCTTCTCTTTAATAGGGTTAATAACTCCTTTATCGTGTATAGGCAGAAATTTCTTTGCAACAAAAACTTTCTTGTTAGCTACAGAACCACCAAAATGTTTTTTCCACCTTAAATCAACATTGTTGAATCATTTCTTGCCATAATTAACATATAACCACAACTTGTATTGAGCACGTCCAGGAAGAGAGAGAACGTCCAGGAAAATAGGAAGGATTTTTTGAAGTCCTGCTATCAATGTTGATGATGGAAGAGGGTGGCCGGTCATCCACTGATGACTGGAACACCTCATCCTTAATATCTGTTGCGCGTCCAACTTCATTGGATTTAAAAGGTAGATTTTCTTCCAACCGTAGCTTCTCTCGCAATTCCTATTTCACGAATTCTCCTCTGGTAATCAGAGAGGGTGGTTTTGTCTCTAAGCAGAAGTTTTTGTCGGAGACAGAGAAAGGAAAGGAAGTTATTTCTTGTTTGAACAGTAAGTCATTTTCACCTAGTTCGATTTTTTTCCCTAAATCAAATGACATGGAGGCTTCTTCTTCAGGTTGCAAGTCAAAAGAAGATAATCTGTTGAAGTAAGGTAATGGTGTTGATAATAACATTCTCGGTGATGTTAATATTAAAATTCTAGTTTCTTCCTCTGGATTGGATAATTAAAAAACCACATATAAAATAAATTTGAATTGAGGTTTGATGGAAATGAGGATGCAAATGTTGTCAAGCTTGATATGGAGAAAGCAAAAGCTAATGTTCAGGTTTTGAGAAATTCCTTGGTGGTGAAAATTCTTTACAAGAATTTGCCTTTTTCAAACTGTAGTCTTGAACTAAGGAGACAATGGACTAAATTTGGAGGGTTTCATATAACCTCACTTGGATTAGATTGACTTTTGTGTTCGTTTCAGTCATCTGAAGCAATGGAGGAAGTTCTTAGTGGAGGTCCTTAGTACGTTGGGGGCATCACCATTGGTATAGACAGATGGTCTCCTAACTTCTCTCCTATCTCTATGGATGAGATTTCTTCTCCCATTTGGATTCGTCTACCTCATTTGCCTCTTCATTGTTGGGATGAAATCAACATTACTAAATAGTTTTTAGAATTGGGACCCCTTTATTATTAGATGACAATATGTTTAGATGGGGAAGAAGGGAATTCGCTAGAGCTTGCATTCGAATTAAATTGAATACTAAGCTCCCTTGTGGTATTTGGGTTGAACGTTTAAATGGAAGATTTTTTAAAAAATTTGAATATGAAAATCTTTCATATCTTTGTTTCAAATGTGGAAGAATTGGACATAAAGATTCTGTATGTCCATATTGTTAAGAGAGTTGCTACTTAGCTTTTGCACCTCTTACATTTTTGCAACTTGTATAGTTTTAATGATTCCAAATATTATTGTTCTTAATTATTATTTTCTCCTAACATTTTTTGGAAGAATTATTTTTACTCTTGTGTGGACTAACATTTTAGGGTAATCGTACTCTAGACTACTGAAAACTTCCAATCAAATTCAACATATCATATTTTGTAAATTGAAGTATGTATTTTTCATTTTATTGAGTCTGAGAGACTGTGATTGTAATTGAGCAACCTAGCACATAAACACTGAGGGAGATCTTTAAAAGTTAAAATTTTTTCTACTAATCGTACGGGACGAACCATGGTCGTACAGGACGATCAGGTTAGTTGTACCCCTCGAAGAGCAATGGAACGAATAAAAAGTGAAGAAATTTTTCTAAGTCCTTATCGTTTAGATAAAATTCCAAATTCGTACCTGGACGATGTCCTCTGATTTCTCACTTTGAACTGTTTGTCCAGACGAAATAGTCAGTTCGTCCTTGGACGATGTCCTCTGGACCCATGACTTTAACTGTTCGTCCAAACAAAATAGTCAGTTTGTCCCTAGACGATGCTCTCTGGATGCCTTCGTCCAGACGATCATTACGTTCGTCCCAGGACGATGCTCTCTGGATGCCTTCGTCCAGACGATAATTATGTTTGTCCAAGGATGATTCTTTCTGGTTTGGAAACGTAAGAGTCATTCAGTTTTTTTGTAAAAATGATTATGGAAATAACCGTTCATACCGGACGAACATGGTTCGTACGGGACGATGATCGGGTACGAAGTCATTTCGTACCAATGCACATTGGGGTTCATATTCAACAGTTTTTACACTATTCGTACGTACAAATTTTGATCGTACGGGACGATCAAGTACGTACAGAATTGAAAAGTTGCTTTTTTTGGACGGTTTTTTGTGTCTTTCATATAAAAGGTCCAATGTAAACTGTATTTTAATCTTTTTGGTCATTGGTCTTTGTGCTTACTAAAAGAAGAGTGAAGGAGAGAGTAAGAGAGAGTGTTTGAAGGAGAGTTCTTACCATTGGAGCATGAAGGATTCACTTGGTACTCAAAGGTAAGGATCTCAACTTTGTAAATTGTGATTACTTCACTCTTTTCTCTTGTTCTTCTAGATTTCTTGTGAGAAGATCTTTCAAGGAGATCCGGTACTCTGCCGACACTTGGTGAAGTGTGAAAGTACGAAAAGTTCTCTGCCTACACTTGGAGAGTGTGAACAGCGGAAAGGTTCTCTGCCTACACTTGGAGGGTGTAAAAGGACGACGGTTCTCTGCTGCACCAGGTAGTGGTGGAAGATAGTTTTGTGAAGGCTTCTCCGCCTTGCTGTGGGGGCAAAAGGAGAGATACTATTGATATTAATGCAATACTCGGAGGGTGCCTCTGGGGAGTGGATGTAGGTGTGTTTGACGGAGCTACTATAAATCTTATGTCTTTTATTTTCCATTGCTTTTTTACTTTACTGTTTCTGTGGTTAATCTGTGGTTGAAAAGTACTTAAAAAAATTCCTTAAAGAGTTTTGTTTAGGTTTAAAATTTAAGAGGGCCTAATTTTTTTTTTTTTAAATTACCAATTCACCCCCCTCTTAGTTAGCCGCTGGGATATAATATTAGGTCTAACAACCTAACTCATAATTAATAAGTTTCAACACATATGTCTCTCATACTCTGAATCTGATTGATAAAGTAGTTCCTAAAAGTTTAGTTCAAGATGATGAAATTTCTTATGGGCCATGGATGCATGTGAAGTTCAAGAACAAAAAGAGGCAAAAAGTTTTATTTGATAAGAAGAAATCAAATTTTCACACTAGGGAAAATCCTGATAAGGTGGATTCGGGTATGAATCCTGTTGGAGATAAGGAAGATTTTGTTGATGTTGTATCTGATAAAACCATATCAGATCTCGAATATTCAAATAAATATAGTGTGTTATCTCTTGAAGAAAATGATGATATAGATGCTGATTTATCTAATGTTAACAATGTTGAAGTTGTTGACAAAGAAGACTTTAATAAAAGTTTAATTGAGGATGTTGATTTTCAGAATGTTCAAATTTTGGATAAAGCTCCGAATGATTGGTCTTTAGTAGTCAATCGCTGGGATAATTCTGATGGTTTGATTGCTGATCAAGCTATCCAAATTACTAAATCTGTTCAAAATTCAAAAGTTGATTTCAAAGAGGCATGAATTCTTGAAGGAGAAGAGGATGTCGTTACTTTTGCTGAGTCAGAGACTGTTGCTGAATTGAAAGTTGTCTCTCCTTCAATTAATGCCGTGATAACTATCAGAATGGAAACTCCTTTAGACGGAATGGGAGAATTAAGTGGAACTATTCCTGCTATTGCACCAGAATTTGATACTCCTCCTTCTGAGGTTAATTTGAATTTTAAAAAGGCTGTGATAGTGAAGGGAAAAACGGAAACTATTAAGGAAGGTTATTCTTCCGGGTCTAAACATAAATTGTTCAAACAACTACAATCATTGGGAACCAGTGGATGATTTACCTAGAAGAAGGATGATAGATCTCAGATTAAAGAACTTTATGAGGGGCTCTTCCCCTTTAGCTCATTGATATGCTTTCTTGTTATTACATTGAAAATAGTAGAATGGAATTTCTTATAAGATACTTGATGATGGAGCTCCTGATCAAAGAGTATCTCAGATTACTAGTTTTGGATTACGGCCTCGAAATTTGGAAGTGGCATCTGAGAAACCTATTGGAAGTATTCTTAGGTGTTTCTTGGATGATGGAGAATACTTGTATTTACTTTCTAGATTTTTTGTTTAGTTTCTTTTACTTTCTTTTAGCCTTATATTTGTTTTCTAAATTTATTCTAATTGCTTATGGGACCGGTACTAGGTTTTATTTTTTAATCGATTGGGAACTCTGGGATACTAACCAACCTTTCAGGTTGTTTAATATTTGGTATCCCTTCCATCCCAAGGGTTTTAAAATGGGAAATAGTGCATCTAATTTCAATTATGATAAGTTTATTTTAACAAATATGCTTTCAATAAGGTTCCTTTTGGATAAAGGAACTCTTAGTTTTTATTTTGGTTCTAGTTTGTGTCAGGCTGTTCTTTCTTCCGTTTTAATGCAAATAGCATTTCTTCAAAAAAAAAAAAAAAAACCACAACCCGTATTCAGATTCCTTGTTAACATTAACATTCCTTGTTAACATTAACTTTATTAGCACCATCTACCAAGTCCACAGGTTCCACAACAACCTTAGCCACTTCCACCTTCACATCCGGACAATCCACATTAACATGACCAATTTTACCACATTGAAAACAAAGCTTTGAAATTCCTTCATATTCAAATTTTTTAAAGAATCTTCCCGCCAATCTTTCCACCTAAACACCTAAGGGAAGTTTTTTGTCCAACTGGATTCTAAAACAAACTCTAGCAAACTCCCTTCTTCCTCATTGAAACATGCTCCCATCTAACAAATAAGGTTTGATAACTTGGGAAGCTATCCTACAAATATTAATTTCATCCCAACATTGCAAAGGTAGATTGGGCATTCTATTCCACATAGGAGTTGAGAGACCTGTATGTGAAGTAGGTGAGAACATAGGTGACTATCTATCAATAACAATAACATGACATTTAACAAACCAAGGTCCTCCCATCAAAATAGACTCCATAATTGTTGAATTCTCAAACGAGCAAAGCACCCAATTAAGACCCAATCCAGATATATAAAATTTCCCAAAACGAGTCCACTGCCTTCTCAATTCAAAACACATCATCCGAAAAGGTATATTATCACTAAACACTTTGACAACAAGTGCATTTTCTACCTTTGCATTTTCTACCTCTTTTTCAACATTTAGCATTACAGCCTTTCCATCCTCTGTAAGACACGAACTCAGCTCCAAATTGTCAATTTTGATGTTTGGCTTTCTTGTCCAAATAGATGGCAATCCACATTCACATCCGAACAATCTTAGCCATTCCACCTTCACATCCTAACAATCCACATTAACATGACCACCCGCCAATCCTTTCACCTAAACACCTAAGGGAAGTTTTTTGTCCAACTAGATTCAAAAACAAACTCTAGCAAACTCCCTTCTTCCCCATTGAAACATGTTCCCATCTAACAAATATGGTTTGCTAACTTGGGAAGCTATCCTACAAATATTAATTTCATCCAAACATTGCAAAGGTGGATTGGGCATTCTAATCTACATAGGAGCTGAGAGACCTATAAGTGAAGTAGGTGAGAACATAGGTGGCCATCTATCAATAACAATAACATGACCTTTAACAAACCAAGGTCCTCTCATCAAAATAGACTCCGTAATTGTTGAATTCTCAAACGAGCAAAGCACCCAATCAAGAACCAATTCAGTTATATAGAATTTCCCAAAACAAGTCCACTACCTTCTCAATTCAAAACATATCACCTGAAAAAGTATATTATCACTAAACACTTTGACAACAAGTGCATTTTGCAGCTTCTTTATAATTTCTACCTCTTTTTCAACATTTAGCATTACAGCTTTTCTGTAAGACACGAACCCAGCTCCAAATTGTCAATTTTAATGTTTGGCTTTCTTGTCCAAATAGATGGCAATCTAACCTGGCCTATATTGGCAACATTAGGTAGGTTATTAAAATCTTGTGTCTTTGATTTAATATTTCCAGATTTTAATAGAGGGTCTCCCTTATTTTCTAAGTCCAGAAAATCTTCAGTCACCTTGTTCGCATTAAAATAAACTTTATCTATCGCTGGAAAAACATTCAAATTTTTAATAGGACCACTCTTAATTAGAGATGTGGGAAGAGAAATGGAGCTATAACACTTATTAAAATAAATTTTCAAATGAAGCTTCCAAATCGAATTTCCCACTAAGTTCTTTAATCCCAGCTTTGTAGCTTGTAGTTTTTGGACTTTTGAATTCATTCTCCCTAATCAAATCTTTTACTTTACCCAAAACAACTGGTATTTTTTTGGAATTTAACAATCATCCTTCATTTATAATAAAAGTTTTCTCTTTTAAAATTTTATTTTGACCACTGAGAATTGACATACCTCTAGAACCTCCATTAAAAACTTTCGCAGCAGATCACACTGCGACCTTCAAGCCATTATGAAAGTTCGCACAGAAACCAGATGTTGCTAGGCAATGGCATTCCATCTGAGTCACCAAATGCTGTTGGAAGGATGGCGAAACTTTGCCGTCCGTGCCAACAACGAAAAAAGAGGAAAGTAGAAAATTTGAAAAAAACTTATTTTTTCCTCACCGAAACACCAAACTTTCTCTCACTAGGTTTCTCTTGCTGATATATATTAAGTGTTACCTCTTAAGAAGGAGGTTATTTTTATAAAGTAATTCTTACAGCAGGCAACTATTGATGGAATTTTTTTAATTAATTAAATTAATAAAATCCTTTAGAAGTATAATACAATTTTTAGCTCCAAAAAATTCCAAAAAAAATCCAAAAAATCTTTAAAAAAAATGTAGGATTTTTCTCGAAAGGAAATAGTTAATTTCCTGCATATTTATCATATTTTTAAATAAAATTGCTCTTAATTTATTTCATATTTCATTTTTAAATAATAGGAAGTTAATTAATTTTTGGGCATTAAACACACCCCTTAGGGGCTAGGGAAAATAAGTTTGAAGAACTATAAATAAAATAACTCGTATAGAGGTTTCAATTCACTCCTATTGGGGGAAAAATTGTCCGGTAAGAGTTTAAATACTAGTGATGGCGATCAAAGCCCGATACTCTTATGCTAGATCTAGTTCACTTTTATTGGGGGAAAAAGTATCTAGAAAGAGTCTAAATATCAGCGGAGAAGGTGATTAACACACGATTCTCTAACACGGGCTCCAGTTCACTTTGAACGGGAGAAAAATTATTTGATAAGACTTTAAATATCAAAAGTGGCGATCAACGCCTGATACTTTTACGCAGGATAAAGTTTGCTCCCATTGCAAGAAAAATTGTCTGGCAAGAGTTTAAACACTAGTGA